ACCACTCTAATTACGCTTAGGGGGAAAATAAATTGAAAATGAGAGAATATTGAATATTAAAATGGGAATATTGAACTCTTAGGTGGTATAATATTTCGTAATTATAGATAAGGTGTAATTATACTATTTCATACGCGTTTGAAGTATAATCACTTTGCAATATGAATGCCTTAGAAAGACGACATCAGTCTCAAATAATTTATAAGCCTTTTGGACAGTTTCAGAATATTTCAGTTATAATTACGATGAAACTTCACACAATAGTTTAAAGAAATTTTATGTAATATTAAATTGTATTTAATAGAGTACTTTAATTATATCTTTATTTGTAAGTTTTCAGTCTATTTTAGTTATTCATCATAATAAACATATGCCTATGCTATTATAGGCTATTTGTAATTTAAGTTCTCGTTAGTGTCTAAATATAGGACAGTTATTGTAAAGTTTTTGGTTTCATACTTATATAATATATAAGTATATCAAGACCACATCATGAGATCTAAGACATTCACGAGTATTCATTTAAATGTAATCAATATCATTCGTATTAGTACGCGAATTTTATTATTTTAAAATACATAACCCCGACGTGTCGGTTACTTTGCAGTAACCGTGATCACAGGCAGATGGGCATCTCGTCTGCCCGATTCATTTAAAAGACTTTACATATTTGGCCTAAGAGAGGGATAAAGTCTCCAGTCTCCACAATTTCTAGGCTACTGTCAAGGTCAGTACCTATTATTAATTTGCAACGCAATAGCGAAAAATTATTTCAAAATGACGTACTCGTGAATAAAACGATACTTCTGGGTTTCCGTACGAAGATATGGGTTTATATTAAACAAAAACAGATGTTATTTTAACAAATATTGAAATTTATAATCATGACATCGTCTCATTGCTTTAAAAGATAAGAATTTTAACAGTGGTTATGCTAAATCTTAAATCTACATTTTTTAAGTATTTTCGTTATGAATTCAATACATATAACTTTATAAATATTTATACGAAGAAAGTAAGTAACAGTTTTAATACCAACACTCACTTATTAAACTTTGAAAGTAAATAGCTAACTTCAATAATTATTGGATAATCGGAACGTTTGTTTGTCAGCTCCATATTAATTAAACCTTAGCGCTTTTTCTCTATTCCAGCTTAGGAATAAAATTAGAATATTTCATTTGAAATTTCCCGTTCTATGAAAGATATTAAATATTTTATAAAATTACATTTTACGAAATACAAGAATCTCTATATACAAATGTGTTATGTTATTTCAAATAATAAAATACTATTTATGTTTCATTAAACAAACCGAATTTAGAAAGGTAATAATCGATTCATATAATTTATTTGTATATACAATATGCGAAACATATTTTAATATCCACTGTGATATAACTATCCAAAAATACTTTCTAAGCACGAGATTGTATATGCTTCAAAATCAAATATATGAAAATAAACTAGCACTGTTAAGGTTAAATGTTTCACAATACGATACTGTATATTTAAAATACACATTTTAAATACGCATATGATAAATATGCTTGTTTTCAAGTAAATTAGCTATTAAGGTGATTATAGCGTAACATCATATGATTTGAAGAGTAAATTCGTTATAAATGAAACTTATATTTTCAGATTACTCTCGTATTTTATTATTTCAAAAAACTACACACTCTATGTTACGGTTACTTTTAAGCAACCGTGATCACGAGCAAACGAGATGTCGCGAAAATATTACTACATATAATTAAATGATACTCGAGAAAGTCTTAGACCTCATTAAGTTATTTTTTTAAATTATATAGTAAAGATTTTAAATTAAAATCCCATATTTAAATGCAATAAATTCATTAGAAGCAAATAATACTAATCAATAGCCAGCTACTATTTAAAGACACGTGAAATGTCAACGGGTCTTAAAATATTATGTTCCGTGTTCCAGTTCCCATAGAAATTCAACAAAAAACAAAAAACAAAGGACTATTATTACGGATTTAAAGCTTGGTGTAGATCGAGATTGCCTTTGATGGATTGCCATCAGCCTATCAGACGCCCACTGCTGAGCAAGGCCTCTTTCTCACATGGAGAAGGTTTGAGCATTAATCACCATGAGGATATGAGGATTATGAGGTATTTATTTATATTTATATTAATTTAATTATATTCATTATTTGTTTAAAAAATGTTAGAAAATTGTATCATACATACATGTATGATACGATGCCGATATTGAGAAAGAAAGAAGGGCGTTGTCTGTGAGGGTGAATATGCTGGCTCGCAGGTGAATATGCTGGCTTCGACGAACGTGAAAATCCCTTTGTTTAGAGCCTACTGCACAAGTTTCTATTTATCCAACCTGTGGGTCAGCTTTTCACAGAAATGTTACAACGACCTTCGAGTTCAATATAACAATGCGTTTAGGGTGTTGCTGGGGCTGCCTCGGTTCTGTAGTGCATCGGAAATGTTTGTAGCAGCGCGGGTTAACTGTTTCTTCGCTACTATGCCCAAAAAGTGTGGCTCATTACTACAGAGACTACGGAGCAGCACCAACAGCATCCTAAATATGATATGTAATAGGCTAGTGCCCCATCTCTAGTGGGATGGTGAAGCAATAATAAATACTAACAGAGTTTTAGTTTTATATTGTTACTAACAAATTGAGTCTTGTGTTACTTGAATTTTAAATTAAATAAATAAATAAATAAAATATATGAAGAATAAAAAGATTTTAACCCAAATATTGAAATTGTTTAATTAAAAATTAAATTTAAGTTTTAATATTTGTATTAAGTATCATGTACTTTAAGTATATGTATGTACATTGCATTAATTATACCAAATACTTTAATCAAATAATATTGTATTGCTGTTTTGAATGATAAAAATAATATTCATCTGAAACCATTGGTGTAAAATTGTTTTTGGAGATAAAAATAATGTTTTAATATAAAGTTGGCTATCATAAATTTCACTCTGCTAAAGAAAGTATTTACACATATACACATATTTATTTTACACATTATTATTATATTTATTTTACACATATTTCAAATCAATTGCTATATTATACAGGGTGACTGGTGAATTACCTTCGATATTTGAGGACGTGATATTTGACCATCATATATGACAAAATAAAAATTAATATACATAACATAAATATTAATAAACTTCTAAGTAAAGTTAACCAAAAGTTATGTAATTAATTACGCATCGTGTGAACACCCTACAGATTTGGTATAAACACACACACAAACGCGTGCGGCGGCGTAGTGTTGTATCAGCACGCCGCCGCACGCTTACACACTTGGAACGTGTCCGCACTTTATTTATTTATACGGAAATTTGGTCAAAAATTAAGTACCTATTTTTTTTACATAATTCGAATGAGAATCATGTACCGAGTATTCTCCTTAAATATTGATAGTAATTCACCAGTCACCCTGTATACGAGCAAAACTATATTTAATATTTTTGAAATGATCAAAATATTTAAGACCTTAATTAATAGATAAAATACTAAGACCAAAATTTAGCTTATTGTTTCAAAACGACTTTTACAAACATAAATTTAAAAAAAACTTATATTTTTTAATAAGAAACGAAATCTATAATGAGTCCTTATTCAGTTAAATCTTTTTTTGATTTCTTTAATCTAAAACAAAACAAAACTTAAAGTGATGGAATATTCTAATATTATTTTTTAATTATACAAGACGAGTCAATGACGAAAGTTGTGATAAAAAAATAAGACCGACTGACAGACAGTCACATCTCGTGTGCCCGTGATCACGGTTACTGTAAAGTAGCCGAAACGTCGGGAGTATGTAGAAACGTAGGGAGAATATGATACTATTAGTGTTGAATTATCAAAACCGTTTATAAAATATAACTTAAAGCTAGGCAGTAGGCACGCATAGCCAGAGCCCATTCCGCACACTTGGCGTTTAATCCATAAATTAACGCGAAGTACGGTGTTTCGTTCCGTATACCATAATACATCTACCATATATAACTATTACGGAACATTTGCATTTAAATACCGGAAAAGTATTAACTAATTCTTAATGTTTTATCTCTGATTGTATTGTTATTCCTCAATCGTTTATAGGTGGAGTTAAATATATATAATTATACGTCATGCAATAAATTTTAAGATAATCGGAAAACTGTAGTTACTTTACAAATACAATTTTTTATAAAATTTTACAGTTTTTAATATGTACTATTAATGAATTTATAAATATATATAACACTTTAATTAAACATCGATAGAAAAGACGTTACACTCTTGACTGTTGAAAAATATTTACTTATGTACCTATTATTAATAAAATATTTATATATATCAAATATATCTTCAAAAAATTTCATATTCATTTAAAAATATATATTCTTTTCAATTACTCAATTATAGTGTAATATAAATTTTCAAAGCACCTAATCTCTGTAGGTAATTATTTTAAAACATAAATTTTTTGTACAACACTTAAGTAGTGTCAACGAGACAATATATGTATTTATATAATTGAGTTTTTATTATGCTATCAGAATTAGGCATGTGTTATTACTTATTAAATAAACTATTATTTATGTATTTCTTCGTAAATGTTGAATATCTATGAGTATAAGAATCAAAGTAACATATCAAGAATATAATAATTATTTCAAACATATTTATAACAGTACCGAATAAGCGTAAACAAGCGTATACATTTCTTCGCAAATCGTTTTACTCACTCATCACATTAATACATTCTTGGAACGCACGTCGAAGGCAGCCCTAGTAGGTTCTTTTCAAATTTGGTTAAGTAGAGATAGAAGCTTGGACAGTGGAGGTGAGCGTTTAACGCGCGTTAGATAATGGCCCCTTAAACCTACACCTGGGTCGCAAGTCCCAGGCACTGTTGAAGCTCCTCTCACTACAACGATGGACCCGACAACCGCACGGTGAATCCATGGAATGCTAAGAGGTTTCTTCTTGTATATATTTACCTAAGTTTTGTTAGTAGCAGCACAGCAGGCGTTGTGCTGGTTCGGAAGGTGGCCCTGGAGCCAAGAGTAGTGGGATCCGACCAGTGTGACGTCACACCCTCCCTGTTATCCAACCTGAGAACAATAAATACGACGATATAAATACATATCGTTTATACATCCATAACTTCTTAAAGATAACTATTTATAAAAAGATCGTTTAATTCTTAAGAAATAATTAATGAAGTAAGACAGTTATATAATTGTTAAAAGTAAACCACAGTAACGTATATTTCTATTTAAACATTTACCTTTTACCATTTTTGGCCTATAATTACGCCAAAAGCATTTTACTTTTAAATAATCAATGATATTCATGTGCTTGTTTTAAACATTAGTAAAATTAAACGAGCTAATATTAAACACTAGTTAAGTAATAAACAGTTATTAGAAGATCGTAAAGTAACATTGTTAATAGTTTGCATTCATTATTCATTGATACGTGGGTTATAAGCATAAATAAAATATATATCACATGTTAACGAACACAGCTGTCATTACAAACAAACCGACAGTTATATTTCAATGTTAGGAGAAGAACACAACGTACTATCTTGTTTGTTATCATTTTAATGACATTAGATACTTGTCAATTAAGTAAAAGCCATTAATTCTAATATGTATTATATTCAAATATTTTAACATACTTTGTGGAATATACATTGTATGTTACATTCATTAAATACAAGTGGCACTATCATTTAAACTGGACCATCAATGTGGACTTTATTTATTATCATAATATAGGGTAGACATCAAATTGAAATTTTCTACAATAAACCAATCATGTGTTATGGCCCTTATCCCGCATACCGACTGTCAGACATTTTAATATCTTAATCAAGCCTTAAAAGGCGACCGTGATCTGAAGATTTGTAACAGAAAGTATTGTGGGATTAACGAATTCAAATGATATTGATATGTATTCGTGATGACTATTTTATTTTTTTTGTTATTTGATTCTATCTAAAACCTAATGGGATCGTTACTTAATAATGGTCCCTTATGGACGGTTTTCTTCAAAATTTTACAAGACGATGACTTTTAACATAATCTAGTTCTTCATGAATATTTCTTCTTCTACCTGGCAATTTCCCAGCTATAGCCAGGGTTTGCCTTACATGTTGTGAAAAGTTTTTGGCTATTTGTTTTTTACGACCGGCCGCCTGCCTGACATCAACCCTCTTTTTGGGAATCAACATTAATCAGTGATGTCCAAATACTCTTAAAAAGTACATATGATTCGGAAAAATCACATTGGTACTTGCCCGGGCCAGGATCGAACCCGCGCCCTCGGCGACGAGAGGCGGGCCCTTTAACCACTGAGCCACCACTGACTTCTTCATGAATATTTATAAGAGGGTAACTATTGAACAAAGTATATATATATATATATATATATATATAATCTTTGTGTAATATATGTATTTATGGAAGAGAAATTAATCAAGTCCATGTAAAAGAACCTTCGCAAGGATATCATATATGTAATATATTAGTATGTATATATTTGTCCAATATTCAGCAATTTCATTGACAAAATTCAATTCGTCATTCTCATTTATTATGAAATCATAATTTACCAAAAAAAACTACCTAATCTCGCTTTATGAAAAGAACTTTTCATATCAATTATTCCGTAAGATAAAACAAACTTTTTCAAACCTCAAATACTTTTTGAAGACTAAGATTTTTTGCTGGAATTAATATTAAATAAAAATTTATTTTAGTTTTTATATTAAAACCTTTCTACCGGTTACAAAAAAAACATTGAATGGTAACTGGTGATCTGTTGTAAAGCAATAAGATTTAGCCTCAGGCTAGACTGAACATGTAATTACAGATCTATAAGCATCCTCACATGGTGAAATGATTGGGATGGTGAAGCAATAATAAATACTAACAGAGTTTTTAAGTTTTATATTGTTACTAACAAATTGAGTCTTGTGTTACTTGAATTTTAAATTAAATAAATAAATAAATAAAATATATGAAGAATAAAAAGATTTTAACCCAAATATTGAAATTGTTTAATTAAAAATTAAATTTAAGTTTTAATATTTGTATTAAGTATCATGTACTTTAAGTATATGTATGTACATTGCATTAATTATACCAAATACTTTAATCAAATAATATTGTATTGCTGTTTTGAATGATAAAAATAATATTCATCTGAAACCATTGGTGTAAAATTGTTTTTGGAGATAAAAATAATGTTTTAATATAAAGTTGGCTATCATAAATTTCACTCTGCTAAAGAAAGTATTTACACATATACACATATTTATTTTACACATTATTATTATATTTATTTTACACATATTTCAAATCAATTGCTATATTATACAGGGTGACTGGTGAATTACCTTCGATATTTGAGGACGTGATATTTGACCATCATATATGACAAAATAAAAATTAATATACATAACATAAATATTAATAAACTTCTAAGTAAAGTTAACCAAAAGTTATGTAATTAATTACGCATCGTGTGAACACCCTACAGATTTGGTATAAACACACACACAAACGCGTGCGGCGGCGTAGTGTTGTATCAGCACGCCGCCGCACGCTTACACACTTGGAACGTGTCCGCACTTTATTTATTTATACGGAAATTTGGTCAAAAATTAAGTACCTATTTTTTTTACATAATTCGAATGAGAATCATGTACCGAGTATTCTCCTTAAATATTGATAGTAATTCACCAGTCACCCTGTATACGAGCAAAACTATATTTAATATTTTTGAAATGATCAAAATATTTAAGACCTTAATTAATAGATAAAATACTAAGACCAAAATTTAGCTTATTGTTTCAAAACGACTTTTACAAACATAAATTTAAAAAAAACTTATATTTTTTAATAAGAAACGAAATCTATAATGAGTCCTTATTCAGTTAAATCTTTTTTTGATTTCTTTAATCTAAAACAAAACAAAACTTAAAGTGATGGAATATTCTAATATTATTTTTTAATTATACAAGACGAGTCAATGACGAAAGTTGTGATAAAAAAATAAGACCGACTGACAGACAGTCACATCTCGTGTGCCCGTGATCACGGTTACTGTAAAGTAGCCGAAACGTCGGGAGTATGTAGAAACGTAGGGAGAATATGATACTATTAGTGTTGAATTATCAAAACCGTTTATAAAATATAACTTAAAGCTAGGCAGTAGGCACGCATAGCCAGAGCCCATTCCGCACACTTGGCGTTTAATCCATAAATTAACGCGAAGTACGGTGTTTCGTTCCGTATACCATAATACATCTACCATATATAACTATTACGGAACATTTGCATTTAAATACCGGAAAAGTATTAACTAATTCTTAATGTTTTATCTCTGATTGTATTGTTATTCCTCAATCGTTTATAGGTGGAGTTAAATATATATAATTATACGTCATGCAATAAATTTTAAGATAATCGGAAAACTGTAGTTACTTTACAAATACAATTTTTTATAAAATTTTACAGTTTTTAATGAATTTATAAATATATATAACACTTTAATTAAACATCGATAGAAAAGACGTTACACTCTTGACTGTTGAAAAATATTTACTTATGTACCTATTATTAATAAAATATTTATATATATCAAATATATCTTCAAAAAATTTCATATTCATTTAAAAATATATATTCTTTTCAATTACTCAATTATAGTGTAATATAAATTTTCAAAGCACCTAATCTCTGTAGGTAATTATTTTAAAACATAAATTTTTTGTACAACACTTAAGTAGTGTCAACGAGACAATATATGTATTTATATAATTGAGTTTTTATTATGCTATCAGAATTAGGCATGTGTTATTACTTATTAAATAAACTATTATTTATGTATTTCTTCGTAAATGTTGAATATCTATGAGTATAAGAATCAAAGTAACATATCAAGAATATAATAATTATTTCAAACATATTTATAACAGTACCGAATAAGCGTAAACAAGCGTATACATTTCTTCGCAAATCGTTTTACTCACTCATCACATTAATACATTCTTGGAACGCACGTCGAAGGCAGCCCTAGTAGGTTCTTTTCAAATTTGGTTAAGTAGAGATAGAAGCTTGGACAGTGGAGGTGAGCGTTTAACGCGCGTTAGATAATGGCCCCTTAAACCTACACCTGGGTCGCAAGTCCCAGGCACTGTTGAAGCTCCTCTCACTACAACGATGGACCCGACAACCGCACGGTGAATCCATGGAATGCTAAGAGGTTTCTTCTTGTATATATTTACCTAAGTTTTGTTAGTAGCAGCACAGCAGGCGTTGTGCTGGTTCGGAAGGTGGCCCTGGAGCCAAGAGTAGTGGGATCCGACCAGTGTGACGTCACACCCTCCCTGTTATCCAACCTGAGAACAATAAATACGACGATATAAATACATATCGTTTATACATCCATAACTTCTTAAAGATAACTATTTATAAAAAGATCGTTTAATTCTTAAGAAATAATTAATGAAGTAAGACAGTTATATAATTGTTAAAAGTAAACCACAGTAACGTATATTTCTATTTAAACATTTACCTTTTACCATTTTTGGCCTATAATTACGCCAAAAGCATTTTACTTTTAAATAATCAATGATATTCATGTGCTTGTTTTAAACATTAGTAAAATTAAACGAGCTAATATTAAACACTAGTTAAGTAATAAACAGTTATTAGAAGATCGTAAAGTAACATTGTTAATAGTTTGCATTCATTATTCATTGATACGTGGGTTATAAGCATAAATAAAATATATATCACATGTTAACGAACACAGCTGTCATTACAAACAAACCGACAGTTATATTTCAATGTTAGGAGAAGAACACAACGTACTATCTTGTTTGTTATCATTTTAATGACATTAGATACTTGTCAATTAAGTAAAAGCCATTAATTCTAATATGTATTATATTCAAATATTTTAACATACTTTGTGGAATATACATTGTATGTTACATTCATTAAATACAAGTGGCACTATCATTTAAACTGGACCATCAATGTGGACTTTATTTATTATCATAATATAGGGTAGACATCAAATTGAAATTTTCTACAATAAACCAATCATGTGTTATGGCCCTTATCCCGCATACCGACTGTCAGACATTTTAATATCTTAATCAAGCCTTAAAAGGCGACCGTGATCTGAAGATTTGTAACAGAAAGTATTGTGGGATTAACGAATTCAAATGATATTGATATGTATTCGTGATGACTATTTTATTTTTTTTGTTATTTGATTCTATCTAAAACCTAATGGGATCGTTACTTAATAATGGTCCCTTATGGACGGTTTTCTTCAAAATTTTACAAGACGATGACTTTTAACATAATCTAGTTCTTCATGAATATTTCTTCTTCTACCTGGCAATTTCCCAGCTATAGCCAGGGTTTGCCTTACATGTTGTGAAAAGTTTTTGGCTATTTGTTTTTTACGACCGGCCGCCTGCCTGACATCAACCCTCTTTTTGGGAATCAACATTAATCAGTGATGTCCAAATACTCTTAAAAAGTACATATGATTCGGAAAAATCACATTGGTACTTGCCCGGGCCAGGATCGAACCCGCGCCCTCGGCGACGAGAGGCGGGCCCTTTAACCACTGAGCCACCACTGACTTCTTCATGAATATTTATAAGAGGGTAACTATTGAACAAAGTATATATATATATATATATATATATATAATCTTTGTGTAATATATGTATTTATGGAAGAGAAATTAATCAAGTCCATGTAAAAGAACCTTCGCAAGGATATCATATATGTAATATATTAGTATGTATATATTTGTCCAATATTCAGCAATTTCATTGACAAAATTCAATTCGTCATTCTCATTTATTATGAAATCATAATTTACCAAAAAAAACTACCTAATCTCGCTTTATGAAAAGAACTTTTCATATCAATTATTCCGTAAGATAAAACAAACTTTTTCAAACCTCAAATACTTTTTGAAGACTAAGATTTTTTGCTGGAATTAATATTAAATAAAAATTTATTTTAGTTTTTATATTAAAACCTTTCTACCGGTTACAAAAAAAACATTGAATGGTAACTGGTGATCTGTTGTAAAGCAATAAGATTTAGCCTCAGGCTAGACTGAACATGTAATTACAGATCTATAAGCATCCTCACATGGTGAAATGATTACATAGTTATTAAATATAGAAACATATAGAATGATATACAAATTTACACCTAAACTTTTGCGTATTAGGACATATATTTTGTAATCTATATATTCATTCCATTATAACATTTATTACAAAGCCATTAAGTGTCATATAATCTGAGCATAGTAATTCCGGAGCGAATTTCGGTCGCGTCAGACAGAAAGTTTTAAGGAACAATAATTTTCTTATGGATTTATGTTAAAATTTCATGGATGCGAAATCTTCGGATATAGTAAGGGCGGTTAAGGCGGAATAACATTTTTATGTGCTACTAAGAATTTGATAGCGTTGGTTGTGGTGCTGAATTTTAGAATCGCTAACTGTTGAACTTTATGAGAACTCTGCCGCAACGTATTTTGTTTTGTATAAGTCGAGAAACGCAATTTGGATTCAAATGAAACTTATACTTTTCGTATGTATTACGCGATTTTTATTTTTATCAAAAACTACATACTCCCGACGTTTCGGTTACTTTACAGCGACCGTGATCACGGGCAGACGAGATGTCGAAAAAGATTAGTTTCATTTAAATGAATACTCGCGAAAATCTTAGATCTCATCAATTTGGATTTCACATTATATTATGTTGATATTTAAATTTAAATACATACATCTCTTAATATACTACAGTGATTATAATCTTATATGGATGTACGGTATATGTGGGCACAAGTATGAAATGACATTTACCTAACAGTTGGTCAAACTGAATCCTTCACGGGAAATCAAACGATTGATCGGTGATCCAAACTAAACATTGAAACGCACCCAAGCGAACGCAAGGGAAACATATTTAGATACTGTTTCAACAACTTAATATAATAGTTAAGTTTAAACAAAATATAAAAATAATTAATATACTATCGAAGAATAAAAAAAATATCCACAATCATAAAATAATATTCATATTATTTATAAGCGAAAATTTACATTATTACAAACCTGTATTAGATTGACCCAAAGCTTATTAAATCTAAGACGAATATCTTGGATCTCCAGACTAAGTTAATCTTGACTAGTTTGAGCAATTAGATGCAATTAAATACTAAGCAAGCCATTAATACCATAATTAATTACATAGTAGTAATCTAATGAAACTAATTATGTAGTTGAAATATATTTAGTCATACATACAAATTTATTAATAAAATTAAATACAGTGTAATTAAAGATATTTGACGATTCATTATATACCTATATGGACTGTTGTAACTATTTAAGAAAATTAATTTTGATAGTAAATAGATTTTTTCGTACTAATTTTTGCATGCGACTTCGTCAACGTTAATTTAGGAATTGGTTATATATATATCTATAGCTAACCGGGCGAGCTCTATTCCGCCCTAGAGGCCATTAATAACCAGATATATGAGTTTATTCAGTTTTCTTTTCAGTTTCAATCGAACAGAATTCATTATCCTATGCCCGTCTCCTGGTTGTTAGCTACTTCCCCACAAATTTACAGCTAAATTCATACATTCATCATTCTTGAGTTATACATAATGTAACTAACACGGCTTTCTTTTATATATATTGAAAATATAAATTGTTAAGAGTAATGTTAAGTTTATTGATAATATTGAGCCATATTTCTGTATATTTGAATTATGATTTCATAATTTATTGTATTCACCGATGATAGCTACTGCCTGTTAAAGAGAAATTAGGGGTCTATTAATTGCAAGGAGACAATAAAATTACACCCCGAGGAGATAGATTCATTTGTATCTATGAAAGGAAAATCATTGGCTAACGCCGATTTTACATATAAAGATAATCTGAGAAAGAATTACAAAGACATAACATTTCTTACTTAATTGAATAATTGAAATAAATTAATTGAAAATTCAACACAAACCTTTCTGTAGATTGAATTAAAAAAATATTAATTAACTAATTGTATAGTATTTAAATTATTATAGCTATACAAATGTTTTATAGATGTATGTGTATACATATACATCTATAAATAAATAGCCTACTAGAAGTGTGATTTGTAGCAACCTGTTTCAAATATCAAATGTCAGTTTGGACACTTTATATTTACAGATACATTTTTCACTGTCAATATCAACACGCTACAACTATTATGAAAGTGCCTTTTGTTCTATAATAAAAGTCGTGTAATAACTCTTGCACTAGGTATTTGAAATATATTTTGTGTACACGTTCTAAATATAGTACAAAAATCTATCGAATGAAACGTAATTATTTATCAATGATTTGTATTACTAAATTAGAAAATATCAGAAATATATACATAATACTAGTCTTCTAGGTAAGAATCTTTATATAAGTTATAAATATTACCATCCTGTCAAATAAATTATAGTTTACAAGTTTCTGTTACATTTGTTTTTCGATATTTTCACATAGAAACTGATCACGGTTTGATTTATCGCCAAACTTTTTCCATAGCTCGTACGTACTTTGGTAACTTCGCTTCAACTTCAAATCAACTGTTAAAAACTACGTATGTAACCAAAACATGACTTTCCATTGTATAAAATTATTTTTATTTCTGGTTGTATACAAATATTTACGCCAAAATATATTTGAAAGAAAAATAAATGCTTGTTAATGGTTACTTGTGTGACGTGTTACGTATTCGTAACTATGAAATACAAACAAATAATCTCTTTTCTTATCAAAAATACCAATATCTTTTCCATAAATTGAACGAATGCAAATAATATTTAAATCTTACCCAAAATTTAAAGAGCTACATCCCCATTTTATATTTGCTAGTGATAAACGTTCTTTTATTTCGGAGTTCATTTCATTCATTCGTGAGATTTATACATCAATAAACCATTCGTTCTTTGTAAGGAATGATTGCACTGTATACCGTTCTTTTGATATCCCTTCCTTTGGGAGCTTTATTGAAACAAGCGGTTTTCACGTTTTAGCAGAGTTTTCAACATTTGGAACTCAAAATTATTATGAAAACTGTAGGTATGGAAACTGTAGGTTGGATGAAGAGAATTTTTTAATGGATTAAGATGAAATATCTTATAAATAAATTATAATTAATAAGGAAAAGCATGTATTAAAATTAAATAATAACCATTCAATTTATTTAAAAATACAGAATCTATACATAGTTTTTTGAATATTTTAATAGTTTTATCTATGTCTTTCCTGATTTATTATGAAAGTTAAGTAAATATTACATGAACACAAGTTTGGAAAATGTCCAAACGACAAATTCTTCTAGTCGTTACTAAAACATGGAGACTTAAAACTGATTGAAAAACCTATTATTAACATCTTGTTCTTCTACTTATACTATCTATTTTCAAGGCGTAAATTTGGTAACTGTTTAATTGTTATACATATATACATATATTATTAGTAGTAGTGATAACTAGTGTTCCCAAAATCGGTCTTGTTCTTCCATTTCTGCAAACCAAGACCACTTAATTTTAGCAAGATAAAGTGTATTGATGCAAGACACAGACCAAAGCTGGCCAACTCTCGTCTTTTTTCTTGTATTTGGGCAACACCATTGATAACATATTAATATAAAAGATATTTGTATAGTATTCATAACGTTTTAGTGGCAATAATTAATTGTAAATTGAAGTTGTTTAAGAAACAAAGACCACAGCTTTTATATCATCCAATTTCAGAAATGTCTGTTAAGATTTGTATGGGTGGCACATTTCTAGGATACAAGTTGTCTTGCGAAAGTATCATGTGAGGAATGAAATGCTCAATTTACATTCTCCTCTGACAGAATTTTATTGCAAAATTTTTTTGTTTAACCTAAAAAATATTCAACTAGTTTTTTTCATTCCGAATATTTTCTCTCACACTGAACATGATTCCCAAATATTCATGTGTACGTAATACTTGACCTCAATATGTTTTAAAATGTATTTCATTTATTTATAATAATGTTCTTAAAAATAATCGTTAATATTTTATTGAATTAAAATTTGGATACAAACAAAAATTAATTCTCATTTAAGGAGTTAAGGGAAGTCTTGATTTTGATCAGGCTTAGAGATAAAATATCGCTCAAGGCATGAGAGGATTATATCTAAATCTGATATCAGAATAAACTTTACACAAACCAGGCGCCATGAATAATCAAATCAAAACAAAGGCAGCTGAGCATGAAGACTAACTAATACTGTTTGAACAAGCGTCAGAGGAACTGGGGCATCTTTATAAACAGACATTCATACATACGAAAAGTGTTAACTGCCTGTCATAGCGGTAATTAACGAAAAATTAAAACACGTCTCTTGTACTAGGAGTTTCAGAGTACTACCATAGGTAGTAGTTCCATTCATTTTAAGGAACTTATAACTTGAATAAAAGTAATGTTTTCAAATGTACGACGCGATTTTTATTATTTAAGACTTCGTACGCCCGACGTTTGGGTAACTTTGCATCAACCGTGATGACGGGCAGACAAGATGAAAACTCCAAAAGTATTTGTTAAGAACTTATAGCTTGTATATACACCGATATATCTGTTCTTGTTTCCTTTATCGAAATTGTATCTGTCAGAGATTTGTATTATGAAATAAGTTATTCTATGTGTATTACATTTTTCGAAAGATATTCTTATTATTATTTTTTTGGTAAATAAATAAATATATAACAAACTATTCTTGATTGTTTCTATTTAATAAAAATGCATTTAATTCTAAAAAGAAAACTTTATTAAGGGTCAGGAAAACAAAAAGACGTCTGTTATTTTATTCGATATATACGTATATTATTAAAATCTGGCAAAAAAACAGACTAAACTTCAGCAAATATCTAATCTATATAGATTTTGTTTCTATTCTATCTAGCAAATATCTAATCTATATAGATTTTGTTTCTATTCTATTAAGTCTATGCCATTTCGATCTTTTTAATATTCAAGTAGGTCTATAACTTGTATTGATGTCATAATGTAAACAGAGTTCAATTTAATCATTAAATTAGTGTTAATGGAAAGTTGTTATTCATTAATGTACGATGTTTTTTAAATGAAACAAAATAATTTGATGGAACTATGTACTTTAATGTATATAATATATATGTAAATAATTAATGAAGATGTTTATTTGTTTTTTTTTTTAGAAATGTATAAAAAAGTGGTTTCATTTTTATTAAATAGAAACTTGAATTTGTATATAGTATATATATAATATATATAATATGTATATATATATATATATTTAAGTAAAGTTTTAATTAAATGCTTTGTATTAGACAAAACTATTAAAGAATATATGTATAACAAGGTAAAGTTAAAATAAATACCAGTAGAAATATAGACTATTAATTTTTAAATTTCACTAGTACAGTCTTATATACTTTTTAACGTTTCTACACTATGTATGATTCTGATAAGTTATTTGGCAAAAGCGACATTTAATTTAATTTTAATTCATATGTTTAGGTTGTAAACTAGTAAACTTAGCTTTACTAGCAGTAAACTAGTTTCATTTAGTGAGCTAATATATCCTAAAGATAGGTAACCTTTATATAGAGTCGATAAACCTCTTGAAAAAATTATTTACGCATTCGTATTTGCTTTATAGTCCGTGGTGGCCTAGTGGTTAAGGGGCCCGCCTCTCGTTGCCGAGTGTGCGGGTTCAAACCTGGCAAGTACCAATGTGATTTTTCGGAGTCATATGTACTTTCTGAGAGTATTTAGACATCACTGACATACGGTGAAGGAAAACATCGTGAGGAAACCTGGACTTTATAGTTTCACAATTATAAGTTTGAAATCACCAACCCGTCTTGAGCAAGCGTGGTGATTAATGCTCAAACCTTCTCCATGTGAGAAAGAGGCCTTTGCTCAGCAGTAGGCGTCTGATAGGCTGATGATGATGATGATGATGATGATGATGATGATGATGATGATTTGCTTTACATAAATTTTTAATAATAAACAATAAATAAATCAATTTATGTATTTATTTACTTTAACACATGAAAAAAATTATCTAAAATTTATTTTACCTTATAAAGCACGTTATGACTTTATAAATGCTTAATATTTTTTGTATTAGCGCTTTTAAATAGGAGCTCATTTTAAAGAGTTTGAAATTGTAATTTATTTTTGATGTTCTAGGTATCGTTGGAAATATATTTTCAGTTATTAAGAAGTCCTTTCTGAAACTAATATTGAAACAGTAAATTAATAGTAACTAGTCCTACAACTTGCACATGATGCTACGTCGGATCAAGTTGAGATTATATACAAGATTTTAGCTTTCAGCTGAAATGGTTGAACATCTACCTTAACATTGACTAGAAAGATTCCACTCAGACAATTTAAATGCTTACATATATAATATTGTAAATTAAATAAAATCTTCTTATAAAAAACTTCAGACTAAACCCACTATTTTTCTGAGCTTTCTTTTAAGTTAAACTAATTTTTGACCGCGACTTTGTTCGATTTGTGTATTGTATTGTGTTTAGAAAGGAATGAATATGTATATTCGATGTAGTAAATGTGTGTCCGTGACATGAATTCATATTACGTACGACGGACATAACGACATTCCGTATCAAGTGTAGGGATAAATGATAGTTCTATCAATATATGCTCATCATATTTTACGCTTACAAACATACGACCAAAATAAGTTACGTTGAACAAATATATAAACGAACAAAGTAATGTTTATACATATATTATATATAGATATATACATGGTATATATTGTTAATACTGATGAATGAAGCTGGAGAATCCATTCGTTTTAGACTAATGTAAGGTAATGTAAGGTAAGGTATAAGTCAGTGGTGGCGTAGTGGTTAAAGGGTCCGCCTCTCATTGCCGAGGGCGCGGGTTCAAACCTGGCAAGTACCAATGTGATTTTTCGGAGTCATATGTACTTTCTGAGAGTATTTAGACACCACTGATATACGGTGAAGGAAAACATCGTGAGGAAACCTGGACTTTTAGTTTCACAATTATAAGTTTGAAATCACCAATCCGTCTTGAGCAAGCGTGGTGATTAATGCTCAAACCTTCTCCATGTGAGAAAGAGGCCTTTGCTCAGCAGTGGGCGTTGATAGGCTGATGATGATGAAGGTAATATTGGTCAGATTTGTCTGTTTGACATAGTGTTTGCGCAGGTTAGCCACACTCCCAAGAGAGTGTAGCATAGGAGATCGTGCTTAATTAAACTTAAATATTGAAATTTGTTATAAGATTCAATATGAAACCTGATCTTTCTTTGATGCCAATGATAGGTAATCAATATTACGAATTGAAAAAGCATTTTAATGAAGTTTCCCTTCTTGTTATGCTTTTCTACTTGAGTAAGTACAAATAATGCTTTACGATTAGACATTTCAGTTCTAATCTTTTTCACTTTTCTTATTTACTATTTGTATATATGTACATGCGTGTGGGTGTGTCTGGGTGCGTTATTCAATAAGCATGTATTAAAAAGAATAAAAGAAAGAACACCTCCATTAAGATAACATCAAACACAAAATTTTAGTAACAATGTATCTTGAATGAACTATCCTTGGAAAGTAATACTCAACTGATATATAGATATAGATGCAATGTTACTTAAGCTTACAATTGAAATAAATTATCTACATATATGTATAGGTATAATCCGATTAAATTAAGCCGCGTTTAATAATAAATTTACTAAGTAGTTATTGAGTGGCGAACTGAATTTATTTGATAATATGTACAATGTATAGGTAAATCTTTATATAAATAAACATTATTGTAAGCTACATAATAAGTGTATAATATATTTTTATGACTTTTGATGTACTTTATGTATTAGGCATTTCGA